AATTTTGGGGGTTAGGTGCACTTTAAAGGAGCGTCCTAAAAATACATACAATTAATTTTGTCCTCAAAGAGGACTCAGAACCGCCTGGGAATAATTTCTGTCTTTTATCTTACTATACAGAATCAACTACCAGCTGACATTAGCTACTTAAGTGTTTAAAGAAGCTACATAAGTTTAAAACATATCCTGTAATTAATCTGAGAACACAAACTACACTCGTTCACTCTCCTTTCCCCTGTTCTGTGCAAACGTCAGTTTGGGTATCCATGTAACAGTATAGCATTGCTGTTTGACATAACTACTACCAGAAAATACAACAATAAATTGAAATCACCACGATACTCACTATCCCTCCCTTGCTCCATCTAACAGCGCCTGACATAGTGACTTGTTCTGAGGAATGGTTTGAAGAATTGTGTGCTCTGGTGTTACGTATCCAATAGCCCACTGGCCAAGTCTTGTGCAGCTCAATCTGAAGATGTAACTGTGAACAAACAAAGATTGGTTTAAAATCATGTTTCTATAACTCAATAGGAATGCAAAACTAATAGCACAAGCTGTTGATGCAATGTTGGTGTGAGGAAAGAAAATTTATGTTTTGATGATCAAAGTAAACAAGTTGTTTTCTTTTTTCGACATGGAATTTTCTAAAAGAAATAGAAAACACGTTCACTGTGCTTCAAATGAGTTATAGAAACACTCCTGGAAGTTTGGCAGAACTCAAAAAAGCTGTGGAAACACTCACCACTCAGCTCGCATTCCCACAGCATTTCTTGTTCTCCCAAACTTCCACTCATGTTTCTATAACTCGTTAGAAACACAGTACATGATTTCTATTTAAATGTTTGTATGTGGATGGGACAATGACTCATAAGTGCAACTATACAACAAAAAAAGTTCGCCAGTCTGGTTAAGATTTGAACTAAGATCAAATTTCTTTGAAATGCAGCCAATGTTTACTAAAGTGTATTGATGTTTTGAGAACTCTTAATGCCGATGATTGTGTCCATCATAAAGTCCAACTGAAGTTTGGTCATTTGGTATGCCAGCCAAGAGGAAGAAGTAGAAACTACTTTGCATAATTTGGTGACATTTGAAAGAACTTGTTGGGTGCGACATGAAATTTAACTACACAAAAAGAAGCTCAGGTTTACATTCTGCAGCTCAGTGCCATGACTATCATTTAAAGATGCAAATAAAATGCAGTCCAATTACACCATGTTGATTAGCTGAAAAGTGCATTTTTCAATGCATTGTATTCCTCTTCTTTATAAGGTATTACTCGCATCGAAATTCATAAACAGGAAACCTATACTTAAGGTGGCTCCATAGGGTAATCATTTATGGCATTGCGTGGTCAAGTGTTATGTTTTGAATGCCGTTTTTGCATTCGTTTTTACACCCAGTTCTCTCAAACTAATTACACGTAATAAGCAATGATTAAATAGTGTTTTACTATTATCTCTGTTAAAATTATTGGTTTTAGTCTTGAATTATAAATGCCCAAACAAATATGTTTTTTTACTTTTTCATGGCTTTACTTGCGATTTTCTTGAATTTCCTTCGGTGAAATGTTCCCAAATTTTCACAGCATATCGCTTCCTGCGGGATACGAATTTTAAAGACGAAAAAAGTAGGGTTTGTAAAGGCAGGTTTTTCGATGTTTGCAAATTT